CATTTCCCGTCCTACTCAATTACCTACTTTTATAGGGAATTACGCAGACATTTTATAATAAATAATACGTCTGACCTAAGTATACATAAACTTTAATCGGCTCGGTCAATATTTTACACTTGAATTAGAAGCCGTCTATTCAGTTGTGTATTTAATGGCCAAACATTGTGTAATGCTCTTCGATGCCATGACCCGGCTATTCTATTTTTGGTTTTGAGCTGTAATCGATTTTTATACCCTGGTATTCCTTATGGCATGTTTCGAATAAATATTAGTTTTATCTAGGTTGATATTTTTTGTATTTTAGTAGTATTATTCTGTTAAATGACATACCTATATACCGTTTTCAGCGTAAAAATACCTCGTAAAAAATCGACGTTCCTTAAAAAATCTCACTTTCCTTTTCATACATTCATTCCAAAGTCCAGACTCTAATTTTGTTAAAATTAAAATCAAATTAAAGAAAATACTTAGAGGAAGAAAATGTTTCTAGGCTACTGTTCTTAGATTAGTAGTTTACACTTAGACTAAAATAACAGTGTTATCCGATGTCTATATTTTTTTTATAATTCCTTACTTTTTCACTTTGTCTAACTTGGTAAAAAAAAAAAAACTCTCCCCATACACAATAAGGATGAAGAGCTCATTGTATCTATATAGCAAGAAATTGCAACTAATAGCCACTTCTTTCAACTAGATTTCAGTTCTACATTCTAGCTATATTTCATCATTGAAAGTTTGGCATTGCCGTTTTCTTTCAAGGTATATTATAAGGATTACCATCAGTGACCCTGGGTGCCGAGTATAGGTATAATACTGCACACTCCTCCAACACGTGGGGGCGTCTCCATTTGAATGAAGTTCTCGAAAAGGAACAATAAAACATATAAACAATAAAAGTACAAGTATACAGAGTCAGATGAACGAAATGGCCCCCGTGTAGAAAATTGTTACAAATTGGGGTAATAAATTAAAAGTTTAAGAAATATTATATAATAAAAATGGTTTTAGTGATTTACAAAAAAGTTATTTAAAATAATATCCTTAAAAAATAAAGTCGTACTTCCACCTCCCCATTGTAAGCAGGGGAAACAGTTCTTATGCATGTCCATGTTGTACTTTTATTGTACCTGTACACACCGAAGGCGAGGCATTGTAGCGGTAATGCAATGCCCTTTTGTATCGGTAGATATATCGTTTTCTGTCTGATTATTATTACAGCATTAATTGAAAATATGTACTTTTTCTTGGATAATTTATTTTTCACCGATTAATATATTCAAATTTACATCTGTTTAATTTTGGTATTTACTTTTTTAATTCTTTTTATAAGATATGAATTTTCCAAACCAACATATACAGGTTCTGTTATGAAAAAGTATTATATCAGCATTAAAAAAAACCTTATGTTTCTCTTTTCTGTATCTTCAATACACCATTATAATCCTTTGATACACCATTCATGATGTGTATTACACTAGATCGACAAATGTAGAACATACGAGTAATATTGCGTCACTTTTACGATAATACCTCTTATGCTGTTATATAATTATAGTCCAAACACACCGTGTTACCTAATATACAAATAAAAGGATAAGATGTATTGCAAATTATTACGGAAAAGAGATTATAAATGTATAATTCTGGAAGATTGCCGAGTTACTTGTTTTAAGGTGTAGTTATTACTGATCTTATGATCAATACACAACGATTTGCTTGTGAGCTCTTTTCCTATTTAATATAAACCTTTGTAGCAGTCGTCATAAGTTCTTTTTTTTTCATTTACAAGTACATGTTAGGCCGAAATAATCTCATTATAAATGGGATTTATATCACGATATAACGAGTCAATAGTGTATGACTTAATCAGACGGAATAGTTACGTATTCAAGCAAGGACCGGGTCAAAAGCTGAGTTTGACAGACCAATTCCTTCTAATCCGATCCTTAAACGGCTAAACAAAACCTTTATACTGACAACAATACACACACGTTGTGTAATTCTTGGGTAATGGAAACAAATTCTAAAGCAGGATTGTCCTCTTTTTTAATATTTTGTGTATTTCAAATGCGTTACGCATGCGTTGTTTATCTAATCGATCCCCCTTGAGAGATTTGTTGAAATTTGCATTTACGCAATAATTATGGTATCGCTTGATCAAATATACCTCACCAGTCGAATGGAGACCATTTTAAACTTCTCGCGGCGAGGTGAAAAGTTCATCTTTTCATATCGGTTTAAGTAAATGTTGAATAACTCTACATAACGCCTTTTGATAAAATATGGGTTCTGTGCACCGAAAGATGAACACGTGACTTTCATCTGGATAAACTGAGGGGAGAAAATACTTCTGATAACTCACGGCGGGTTGGGCTGTTTGAAATGGTCATACATCGGTCATATTACATTATAAATAAATGAATATAAACAGATTCAAGGCCAAAGTCTTGTAAAGAAACATTCCTTAGACGCCATGGTATCTTTTCCCTCTGCACCATCAATATGTTACATATCGTTAATCACAAAGTAAAAATGCTCTTGGCAGCAGATGATTTAACTTGTTATTGCAAAGCAAACAAACATATATGTTTATTTTGAGGAATGTTTCCAAGTAAAAATATTCGAACGCACTTATTACTAATGCAATATGTGGACTTGAACTCATTCACACCAGGACCAACGGATAAACGTCTTAAAAATGTTGTCTTATTCTTGAATTCGAGTATGAATTTGTTATTAAGAGATCACATTTAGTCGATTTACTTATTTCAATGGCAAAATTGTAAAAGAAACACTTAGATTATCACAAGTTATACGATTCTGATCTGTCCAATATTTTCTTGTTTGTGAAGATAAAATGTAAAATTCTAAACACCCGAAAGCCCTCATAACTACCTATTAAAACAGGGGTCTAACACCACCCAGAAGTAAGAATGTAGAAATTTTTAGTTGACCTCTGACGAAAGACCTCAGAATCAGACATAACCATTACACTGAAAGCCTGGATTGAGAGTACACTTTACACCTCTGTCATGCGAGGCATGACACCCTTCCTATAAGCCACATTTCAATCCCCTTTTACAATTTTACGTCTTATACCTCGTTTTTCCATAGCGGGTGAAACATTAAGATTGTATCAGACTTTAGCTGTGGTCATTTCTCGCCAGAAACTTGTCATTCAATTCAAGTCAAATTAAATCTCCTGATGGTTGTTGAAAGTTCAAGCAGAGGTTTCCCATGTTTCATCAGACGTTGTCTCATAGCCTCCTTCTTTGTTGCATATAGAAAAAAAGCCATTTAAATAAGTAAACGCTTGGTAATTGATGGTGTAAATCTTAAAACCAAGAGAACTGCTGTTAAAGTTTATTTACGATGGCAATGAAAGGTCGTAAGATATAACAACAACAAGAAGATATATTTGCAGGCAAGATCTTTCTTGATTTGTTTGATTTATTTTCTCGGTTTTCCTATTAAAGATTAAAAATATCATTTTCAACTTTCATCGGCCATCTTCCTTTTACATATAAAAAAAATATATTTCATATATAAAAAAAAGAAAATAAGCTCATATTCTGTCTGAAAATGTAATTTTGACTAGATGAGTTAGTTGTTTCCTGATCATCATTCCGTGTTGTTCAGCAATTTTCAAAGTTACAGCTTTACTTCCTGCAAATATAAAGATTAGAGAATTTTAACCTTTCCTGGAATTTGACATAAAATTAAGAATGCATCTTGGACAAGAATACATACAACACTAACGCTTACCTTCATCTTCCTAGGAAATGACAGGCAATTATTTCTGTGATTAATTAGGTCTTAATGGATTGTATCGTATTAGATAAGATCCCAATATTGCTGTAACCAAATTCAACTCCACAGGTCTATAATGGCGCGAAAACATGTCATATTGCGATGGATGAAGTCTGCTGGACAATGCCAGGATTAAAAGCAAGGGGGATAATTAAAGGCATATCGGATAAGCGTGCATTCTTGGAATGTCAACAATCTTAAAGATGCAATGACAGATCTTAGAGTCAATCCTTATCCTAGTTATGTCGTTGGTATAATTTGTAGAGTGGCATCTGTTGCCAGGGTTTTGGGTATGGTATGATGTAATTATGGTACAAATACAAAAATGTTTTGTAATATTTAATCTACAAAAACAATATCGATTTCCTGACATAATTTTTTTTAAAATTTGTTGTGTCTGAGATACAAAAATATATTTACCAGAGCAAGTTATATTTTGTAAAAAATAATTATTATCATTATTAATTTATTATTTTTGATAAATCATGGAATGTGAAAACTGGAAAAATATCATGCCTTATTTTTTTTATCAATCGAGCACTAATATAAATGAATTATTATTGTTAATAAATTGAGTTAATTTGAATACATTTTATGATTCATCATCTTTAATCTTTCTGTGTTTCCTTCTTGCAAAATGCATCATACACGTGTATAAAAATATTATTTTTAATAAAGTTATAATTTTATTCATTTACTTTTCCTATAAAAACATTTGCAACAGAAAACGGACATTATACCTTATAATATAAATATTTTTTCCTACAAACAGATAAACGAGGAAACTTCTTTTTCCTGTACAAAAAAACTTTGGTAATTACATGTATAAGAAAATTTCCTGTTAGGGGGTTATGTTATTTTGCTTCATTCTTTAATCTTCATTAACACATAAATGTAAAAGGGCATTAGGGCAACATCATCTAAATTTATTTCACAAACATCATTAAATTTCAAACAAATAATTTTAAGCTTAGAACATGTGCCTTAACGGGTTTGAGATGGAAGACAAGAAATTGATAATTTATATTATTCACAAAAAAAAAAAAGAAAAAAAAAATATTACTGCGATCCCTTAAAGAGCCCCTTTGAGTCAAATAAACATATATTACATATGAGTCTGCAACAAAGCCTTGTCAATTGTCATCACCGGAAAAGTAAGAAACAATGTAAAGACAGGAGACTTATATAAACAGCACACATTAGTTGTACCGCTTAGGAGACGCCTACTTGATGAGATTAAAATAAGTGCTTCACACTTCAACCTTATAGGGGAAAACTTTGGACGCATCTGCCTGGTATAGATTTTGTTTCTTTTATCAAGGAAGTCTTCACACAATAGTTAATTTCATCACATAAATTGAAATGTAAATATTTGTTATATTGTTTATTCTTACAAATTACTGAATAATTAGAGAAACAGATCTTTTAACCATATATTTCATCTTTTAACTTTCAATGATTTTTTAACAAAAGCTCGTTGATCTAAAAAAAAATTGAAGGAAACTTTAACTAATAGATAATAGAAAATAGAATAGAATTTTTTTCTCCAAAAAAAAAAAGATTCTTTTTTCAAACTGATGCAGGAAAAATTGTTCTCAAGTGCTCTTTTGAAATTATTTACTTGAGTTTCATACTAAGAGCAGTAAAAAAAGATAAGTATAAATTTTCTCTATGTGTACTATCATCTCATAACTTGTATCATTATGCATTTAAAACCATATTTAAAAAAAAAAATTAAGTGTAAAATGCTCAGGAACATTATTATTATTTACAATGCATATCATTGATTCATTTGTTTAAACCCTTCTTTCTGATGCTAGTTTATCATTAATAAATATTAGATACGCATACAAATAATCATACTCTATCCTTTGGCCTCGTGGCATTTTATTTCATGTAATTCTCATCAAAGACTGCTGAACCGGTATTTTACGATTCTAAAAGTACTCGTAGTTTCCAATTATAATTTAAACTATATATTTTTCGATTATTATCGAGTTGAAACCTTTGGCCTTGGAGGCTGGCTTTTTGTTTCAAATGACGGATTTATGTTACTGGTCATAAACATTGGACCACTGTTATTTGCTTTTAAAGTTCAAGTGTCGTACAACGCAATGGTTCACAATAACGCTGTTTGTATTACGCCAGTGTTATAACATATTGACACGAGGCTATTGATCGTCCGTCCACAAATAGCCACTACCATTCCCTTCTCTTGCCCCAGCAACTGGCCAGCCTGGCAATGATGTAACTAATTCGTTTTTCACACTTCATCAAGCTGGGGAACAGTGCAACCGTGTTATATAATACACAGCACAATTCACCCTAAAATCAATCTCATTATTACCTAACATCTCTTGAGAAGATAAATACAAATGACCTGGCGCCGTTAATAGTTTTGAAATATATTTAGATACTCAAGCTCCTATATCTCCCTCTCATGCTCCTTGTTGTAAGCTATGAATCATATTTTTACAATGTTTTGCTGCTGAAAACAAGTATTTTTCTTCGTTCTCCACTTCATTGGCCAGAAACGCCTTGCGGTCAATTTGACCCCAGTATACAACTTCCGGTAAACAAAGAAGATATCCATTCAAAACTTCAAACGCGACCTTCCAGCACGGCCCCCTCTTCCTACCTCATTGCATAAATAACAATTGTTGATAAATAAAACTTTTATTTCTTTTTTCACAGTGGTCACTACCATCTTTCCCTTAGAGCAAGACTCAAACTTCTAATGAAAGTGATTAGAGAAATAGGTCAGATACGTCACATGCGCAGAGCTTTATGTAGTTATTGTGCAAGAAGGTCATTTCGAGTTCATCCACTGCAAATAACCGTATAAGCGACGGCTATCGGTTGGTCAGTTTTCATTTAGCTCTGGTCAGTGGGAGGATCCAGAGAGAGAAGTCTTTTATCGGGATTTACTAGACTGTTGGACAAACCATCAACAAGAACAGCTCGTCTTGACATTCACAGGTAAATAATCAATTATTTATTCTTACCAGATTTTACTATATTCTAATTAAAAAGTTTCTATTTATAAGAAATAAGAGAAAAAGTCATCTCAACGAAGTAACATTTTGTTTGTCCATCATTTTTTTTTTAAATTAGTGTAAGTTATAAAATGCATCAAAGGAAACAAGTACAGAAAAAAATTAATAGCTGAACTTTTCTCTAATTTAAAAATATTTAAATAATTTTTCAGCAAATTGCCGAAATGGCAGACACAGCCTTGGACTTGTCATCTAAGCCTGGGGTTGATCTCGACAGAACCTCCAAATTCATCAGCAGAACTTCCATTCACTCTAACTCTGGGGGATCAGGACGTAACTCCCCCGCATCCTCAGTTCACTCGGACGGAAACGAAAGTGACACTTCAATAAAGAACAGTGTATTCGGACATGAAACAAGAGGCAGCAATCCCCCGGTAAACTCACTCGGTGAAAATTCAAACAGTACCTCTATTAAAAGTGAGGAAGACGCTGGTACCCCCGACAAACTAAGTTCATCTACTGTGTCGCGACCATTCAAAATGTACCCCATGGATCCTTTTTCAATATACAGCATGGCGACACCTACTCCTTCATCGCCCCTCTCACCCACAGTGACATCCCCTGCAGCGTTAGGAGTTCCCCCTTCAGTGTACGAGAGTCCCGCAGGGTTCCCGGGTTTCCCGTTAGCTCCGCTGACTTCTCATTTACTGCAACGAAAACGAAGGTCTGAATCTCGGCCGGATGTGATGGACCCCAAAAAAACAAAACCCGTCCCGGAGGAAAGAAAAGATGATGCTTATTGGGAAAGAAGAAGGAAAAATAACGAAGCAGCCAAACGCTCCAGGGACGCTAGACGCCATAAGGAGGAAGAAATCGCTATGAGAGCGGCTTTTCTCGAACAGGAAAACCTCAAACTTCGTGCTCAGGTGGCCATCCTCAAAAACGAAACTGCAAAATTACATTACATGCTCTATAACCGATTATGAGATTTGTTTGTTGTTCATCTGTACTTTACGATTTTATCATATATTATATGTGGCATTGAAGGTGCAAAAGAAACACGAAAGTGCTAAATTTTATAATCGCCTAATCGGATTATTTTGTAATAGACTGCAATATAATGACACATTTAACAGAGTTACATTTTCTAAGACAGCTAAAATTTCCTTATACACAATGAAAAAAGTCTGCATTTTTTGCAGATATTGAGTTTTAAAATATAATACTCTCTGCAAAAATGTTTACGATATTCAAGGTACGATTATTTATATTTTGTCAATAACCAGTAATCTAATGCTGATTTTTAAAGTTTCGTTTTTCTTTAAAACAGTGATCAAATGCTGAATTTGTTTTTTTTCAAGATTCATGCATGTTTGTTGAATGATTGTTTTGTTTGAATGTTTTACTAAAGAATATGTGCTGATGACTAGTGCTAAGAGAGTTGAATGAAATTTTTTTTTCAAAGAAATATTTATTATCATAATTTTGTGTGCTCTTTATAATACAAACCTCGGCTGGGATAAAATCTCAGACAATCTTTTACTTTTTATCAATGTTTACTTACATATAACAATATATTTTCTATCAAGATATCTTGAGTATGGTATGATACGGTCAGACAATTTATGTATTAACCTCATCTTTGCCATTTCAGGATTTTTTCGCATCTGTCATGCACTAAATGAATGCTCTTGTTTTATTTTTATGAAAATTGTTATTTTATTTTTAAGCCCGGTTAAATGTCATTTGTATGTAAACTTCAAATTCATATTTCACCTGGACATTGAAACTCAAATCTTAAGTGTTTTGAAGAATTAAAAAAAAAAAGAAAGGAATAGAAATAAACTCAGAATTTATTAAAAAGAAAAAGTGCTTTTATAAAAATAAAATTGGCAAAACTGACCATAAATGAAAACTTAAGTGACCAATGCTTTCAATTCATTTTTAAATTAAAAATAAATTTTTAACACAAAAGAATGTTCGAAATGATCTCAGTGAAATTTTGAAATCCATGCTAACCAAAGCTTTATACACTGAAAGTTTTATGCTTTTACTCTACAAACTGCTTACGATACAAACATTGATTTTATTTATATACTCTTTTCTCATCTGGTGCATCTTTTTAATTTTTCATTTGTTCATAATCAGTGTTATTTTATCTCAGAAAAATAAAGCTGAATTCACTACTTGGTGTTTGATTTATTGTCAATTTGGCTGGATTTAATTACTTACATAAAATCATTAAACAAATGAACATGTCCTCCAGGTTTAAACAGGACAGTTGAATATTCTAAGTTATGTGCTCGACATTTAATCTTTACACAAGAATTCAACGTATATTTATTGAACGGAAATCCTTTTACAATGTAGTTTAAAAAAACATCTTGGGCCGGAATAGCATCTGAGTGGACAACATTTACCGTGAACTGAATCTTGATTGAAAAGATAATCGAGGTAATATATGTAATGTTATTAATATTCTGAAGGATTTTTCGCCCGGTTTGATCACACTTTGGCAGGTGAACTATTAGAGATGCTTTTGAAGTTCTATACATGTACTATCCTGTTTCTCCGTAGGTAGTGGTGAACTTTTAAATGGTTATTTAACAATTTACCCCCTCGATACACAGTTCTAATTCACGGTCTATTGAAATTTTGCCATCTTTCTTTATCGGAACAGTAAAGTTAAGTCAACGATTACCAAGACATTACACAAGGTTATACAAGATTGTGATGTCATTTCTAGTGGTCATTACGTAACGTCAGGTCGAATCCAAAAGCAAACTATCAGAAAATAGGGCAAATCATTTATTCTGTTACCTAACATATTAACGATTGAACACATTCACCACAAGCAGATATCAATATTACATGGTGACCTTGTTCGGCCATATACCTTTAGTACATTGAAATTATATGTAGGGCACATGCATTCACTGCGCGGAACAATTAAGGACATATGTTGTAATGTTGCACAAGGATATACAGTCGGAACGGAAATGCGAGCGCCGCAAATATAAAAGTGCTTCGAGGAATCGGAGCTAAGTCCCGCTGTAGGCGGATTTGGATTATCTAAATGAAGGATGCCCTTGAAGATGGTGATAAATTGTATTGATTCAAAAAATAGCACAAAAAGTGTTTTATTATCATTCATAATTTGTAAAAATCGAAAAATTATTTGAAAAGTAGTACATTACCAATAAAAAAAAATATCAGAAAATTCTTTACATAACATACTTAAATACTCTTTTTTTCTTTTTTAGCTCTTTGTACTTCTGGAAGCTAAAGAAAACACTAGCAATCTTTCTTTTTAGCTCTACTGGTCAGAGACCAGGCCCCAAGACAATAAACTGAGAACAGGCTTAAGTCAAAATTTTGATTTTTTATATCTTGAGTTTTAAAGTGCTTAAAAATTTGCTATGTTATGTAATATTTCGATTCAAATATATAATGAAATTTTTGTTTCTATATCAAAATCATTTCAAAAGTTATTGTAGTTTGAAATTTTGACTTAAGTCTATTCTCAGTTTATGGTCTTGGAACCAGGTCCCAGGATCATGAAACAGACTTTTACTTAAGGTAGGATTCTTCTCACACAAAACTGTATTTCTTGTATTCAAAAATTAATGAAATTTTCACAGAATTAAGAAGACAGTATTAGTAAGTGATGGTATTAGTTAGATTAGTTTTGACCGTTTTATATCAGAGTCAAGGTCAGGTCAAGGTCATTACCTTTTCCCTGGTCATTAAGAATAAAAATAACTGCATCCAATCACGAGAAAGGGTCTTCTTTTTCAAAAGATTAAATGTTTTTTTTTTGGCATAAAAAGATGTTACCATATAGGGTCTATAAGATGATATTACCAAATTGACACAAATAGGTTAACAAAAATGGATTTTGGCTAATCCGAATTTTCTCTGTTTTTCTTAAATTTTTAGGATATTTAAGATATTTTTATATGCACCCTATATTTAAATTTTTCTTATTTTCACATATGGTAAAGCAGTCATATAGAGATACAAAATGATACAAAAACAAAAAGTTTTGACTGTTTACTAAGAGAGTAAAACACTTTCTATGGATTTTTGGCTCATATCTGTACTTAGAGTTGAAGCTTTTATAAAAGCTACCATAACTGTAGATTGTTTGGAAATTCATATTTATTTGATATATTTTAAAACTTTACTTTCTTATTATTAATTTAGCTAACATTTGAAAAAATCTTCTAGTCTTCTTTGATTGTGTAAAAATTATTACTATATTCGTAGTTTTATAATAATTTTGAGAGACAGAAATGAAGATATTTTCATACGCCGTCCTTCCGCCAAAAATATAGGCCCTGCTAGTTTTCGAACACAATTTACCATTTCCATTTAAAGTTGTACAATTGTGATGAGGAAAGAAAAATATGGTCTTTTAAATCTCTTTCACCTAAATATATAAGACATGTAAGCAAATATACATTGAATATTTCATCTACTCAGAAACCAGAGAAGAATCCTACCTTAAGTCAAATTTTTAATTGCCTGAAAAATGTTTCTTAATTATTGTACGATATCTCGCAGATAACAACACTTTTGTAAAGCAATATTAAGAAATATTTTAATTTTTGCCTAATTGACTTAATCAAAATTATAGTAAAATATGAATATTTTGACATAAGCTTAAAATGCTTTATGATCCTGGGGTCAGAAGAGCTTATGCGATATTAATGCGTCCGTCGTCCGTCCGTCCGTCAGTCTGTCTGTCCAGCTGTCTGTAAACAATTTTTCAAAATGCTACTCCTACAGTTTTGGTCTGATTTAAATATAACTTGGCACACAAGTAAACTAAACTAAGATACATAAATTGATGCATCGGTTTTGGATTTCGATGAACGGTGTTGCCATGGTTACTAAAAATAAAAATTTCTGTGAAATTCATTTAAAACGCTGCTCCTCCTACAGTTTTGGCCTACTTTCAATATAACTTAGCACACACGTAGACTACATTAAGATACATAATTAATGCATCGGTTTTTGACTTTGATGAACGGTGTTGCCATGGTTTCTAAAAATAGAAATTTGTGGGAAATTCCTTTAAAACGCTAATCCTCCTACAGTTTTGGTCTACTTTCAATATAACTTAGCACACAAGTAGACAACACTAAGAAACATAAATTAATGCATTGGTTTTTAATATCGATAAACGGTGTTGCCATGGTTACCAAAAATAAAAATTTCTGTGAAATTCCTTTAAAACACTACTCATCCGACAGTTTTGAACTGATTTCAATATAACTTGGCACACAAGTAGACTACACTAAGATACATAATTCTATTCATTGCTGCCTGTTGCAAAGTTTCAAATCCAAGTGCTTCTTTTCCTATGTTATACGTACAGACCAGTAGAGCTACAGTCTCATCAGAGACTTCTGGTTAGTTTGCTTTTTGTTTGTTCAGTTTCATTTTCTTAACCATGTGACAAAAATGTGTAATAGTTCTCTTTAATGTGAATAGAAAATTGGTGTGGCGTTTTTTCTGGAAGGATATAATATGTATCTTCTTTATGGCAGTTGCTGAAAATTCTATTTTATGTATCATTATTTATATGACCTTTTCCCATCGTTTTCCAAAGCTCTGAGAAAATGTTCAGACAAGTGGGATATGGTCAATCAACCGCAATTCATGTCCATGACTTAAAATATTGCGCAAAATTTCCACATGACCATAAGGTCAATCTGGCTTATAGTGTCCACTTAATCACAAAGACCGGAAGTTACAACACATTGTATAATTTGATACAGGACATGTCTGGTATACAGTTATATATCCCATGTTTACCCCCCCCCCCTCCCCCTCCCGTGGTTATCACTCATTGGATTTTTTTTTCTTCATATCCCACTGCTGTGACGTCACGGGTTTTACGTGAAAGTGATGTAGTAAAAACTAAGGCAGATTCGGATAGGAAATATATGGCGATAACGAACAGTATTCAAACTTAAATTTCCATTAAAGAATACAATAAACAGTGTAAAATATTGATAAAACGTGGGATAAAATAATCTAGTATGAATTGTTTTATCCAACTCGTTTATTAATCCCCTCGCGGCATAAAAAAGCACAAAAAAAATCATATACAACTGCCGCTTACTGACTTTTACTTGGAAATTAAGAAGTAC